CTCAAGCGCATTTAGTTTTAATGTTTTGTCTCGGTCTAGTTGAAATATGTAGGGTAGATGCAATGATGCTAGATTAGTGCATGCGAAGACACGATTTCAGCGCCCCCCGGATCCTCGCGCCCTAGGCTGCAGCCTAATTAGCCTAAGGGTTAATCAGGCCCTGGGTGTAGGGAGTGATTATGCCGTCGACCAAAACTAGATACCCACTGTCGAGTAAACATTCAAATGTCCTTGTGTTTAAAGTGTACTTTGTGGGGGTTTTGCAAGAAATTACATCGATACCCGTACAGGCTGATGGTCCGTTTACTATACGCGGAGATACTTGTTGTATGTTGTAGTGTAATTTGAAGAATGCTTCTCGTGGACTCTTCTTCAGTAAGCTGCACAGTCGCATCTTCTCTTTCATAATCATGATTAAGTTGTTGCCCATGCGCCTCAGCCCGCATAACAACATTCTCGCCAACACGTCGTTAACACTGTAGCACACGCTTTGTTTGTGTATTTTTATATTTTTTGTATTTATAAAGATAAATGCTCTGCGTTCAACAATTTCGATTACTTTGAAAAGTTACATAGTTCCTTAAATAAATAAGAACATTTCGTTAATTAAAATTCTGTATTTTAAAAGTTCATCGTAACTGCCGAAATTGAAACATCAAATTTAAACTAATTAAATAAATAAATAACCCAATGGAAAGTAGGATACAAGCTAAAGTATTTTAAAAATACATTGAAATGTATACAATTATTATTAATTTCCAAACTAGTTTCGTCAAACAGTTTATAAGTGAGTAATTTCAATAACAGCAGTAGAAGGTTTTAACAATATAGAAAAGAAAATCGTATGATGATTAAATGATAAATTAGGAAAAGTAACCTTAATAATTTTTTTTTATTTTCCGTTTTCTTTTTATTTAAAGGTTTTATTTGCGTACATATATGTAATTGAATTATTACCAACAGCGCAGTAAACGCTATCTATAGAAAACTATCACATTATGTGTGGTTCAAAAATGTTCGAAAGGTTAGTCTGTATTTTGTTGAAACTGCCTACGGCGTGTTGACAAGATCCGAAGAGATTGAAATCGTAATGTGCGTCGATTTCGCTAGAATGGCCACCATGAATTGTTTGGTTTGTTAAGTTTTATAAACAACAGGTACTCCAATTGATTTTTTTCACATTCTCTAATAATGGACTTTGTCGAAAATTTTTGAATTCCATAAAATGCAGTAATTTTCTACAGATTACTTTCGTTAAGCTGTTTTTAGTAATTCATAGAACGCCATCTAAAGGGACTAGGTAGATTTAGTCTATATACTGTTGGAACTTGAAACTGTCGCAATCGCTATCCACTTCTGGCGGTTTCGACAGAATACTCACCACCATTAACTCTTTGTGATATATAGACAATGTAATTTTTATAACAATAGTTTTGCAGTTTCTTGATATATTTTATTCTATTACTACAATAATGTTATTCATCCAACAGCAGACTAGTTATTACGAAAAACTACAAAACAATCAAGTACCCTCAAAAATTAAAATTTGTGCCTATGAAATTTAAATAAACTGAAAGGAGATTGAAATAATATGTTACCGAGTTAATTCTTGAATTATTTTTTTCACTAATTTGAGGTTATCTACAGTGGATAAAATAAATTTACTAATATATTGAACTAATGCAATAAAAATTCGAAGTATGCCAGTTTTAGAACCTTATTTTATATACTACATTATGGCTCTGTAGGGTCTCGCTTCTTGTTTCAAAGGAATGAAAATATTGTAGTCATCTGAAGTGGATTAAAAAATTATGAGATACATTTTGAATTTTTGTAGGGTTAATTCAATGTATTATTGAATTAATTTTACCCACTACAGATAACCTAAAGTTAATGAGGAAAAATTGTTGCTGCTGTAATTCCCTTGCCGGTAATCGAACCCGGGTTTTACGTTTTAGTAGTCGATTCCCGGCAAGGGAGTAACAGCAGCAACAATTTTTCCTCATTAACTTGAGGTTATCTGTAGTGGATAAAATTAATTTAAAGAAATAAATTCACTAATACATTAAAAAAATAAAATTTAAATTTTGGATAGTAATATCCTGTATCTGCACGATTGTTAGTCATTTGTTGTTGATATCTACAAAAAATCTTTATTTCCTTTTAACATTTTTATAGGCTTGCCAGAGGTAATGTTAGGTTTGCTTCCCGGGGCTGGAGGAACTCAACGTCTTCCTAAATTAATATCATTACCCAATGCACTTGATATGGCACTAACAGGTCGAACAGTGAAAGCAAATAAGGCAAAGAAGTTGGGCATACTAGATCTCCTAATTGATCCACTTGGTCCAGGTTTGGATACATCAGAAAACAATACTAGGAAATATTTGGAAACTACATCAATGGAAATAGCTAAACAAATTGCAAATGGAAAGTTAAAAATTAACAGAAACAATAAACCATTGTCCGAAAAAATAATAAGATTTGCTCTTCAATACAATATAGTAAAAGATCAAATATTTAATAAAGCCAAACAGCAGGTTTTGAAGCAGTCAGGGGGACTTTATCCCGCTCCACTAAAGGTAAATAAATAAATTATAAATAAGTTTTTAGGCGTTTTGAAAAACTATAATTGTTATTTATTTAACTACTATGATTTGTGCAAAACATTAGCATAAATTTGAATAATGTTGATAATTCATACAAAATAAATCTAGTCAACTTTTAACTATCATACTGTTGACAGCACAAAAATGTACATTTGTTTATTAAATATGTGATTATAAACACATTCAGTGGTATATACGAGGTATGTCTATTTAATATGAAGACCGTAATTCGTAGTCACAACCGGGATGGCGTGCGGGATAGCCTTGAACATGTCTTAATCCGCTAGACATGTAGTAGAACCGGTAACTTTACGATTTTTAGTTAAATTGAACAAGATACAAATAGAATATTATGAAATGCTTACAACAGCTTATAAGAATAATTGTATGTTTCATGCGCGTGTGTATTTATACTACTATTCCACACAATAATAATTCCATAGCGGGTGACGTAGCTATGGGCGGCCATAAAAGACAAACGTTTGTTCAAAGATTGTCCTAAGAATTCTTCTATTAGAGCAGAAAATGTCGCACGGCATATTGTGTTGGTATTTTGACGTAACTTGATGTAGATCTCCATTTTTTTAAAAAAAATAATCGCTTGTGGTACCTGAGTCGGCTAGCATGAATCCAACCGTCACTTCTCTGGAAAACGCTGTTATTGTCATCACCAGGAAACAAAAAGTCTTATCAAAGCAAGTCAAAGTTCAAAGCATGTTCATTCTGTTTTTTTGAATTTCAGAGGTGTAATTTTAAAACACTGGATTCCAGAAGTATTATAAGGAAGTTTTGATAAAGCGAAGAAAACAAAAGAATAAGGAAAAACGAGCTCAACTGCGGAAATATGGTTTTATTATTTATCAGGGTTTTTGCATCTGCTTGCACTGCACTTATTCTTAAGTCGTTTATTACACAAGATAACATTATTAGATTATTACTTTTGAACATACACTATATTCGTTCGATTTAGTACAATGTGACTTTTATCTTAATCCAAAAGTGAAATCTGTACTTAAAGGGACATTGTTTGAGTTGATTGATGCTGTAAAGGGCAATAGATTTTCGCTATACATCAAACGCACCAGTAGAAAACACGACTGAAGTGATATGTTAATTCTAATGGGTACTATTGAGAGTAGTCAATTTTTCATACGGATATTTTTAAATGATATTGATTTTTTAAAACGATATAAGATGATATTAATACAATATGTTATTGGACTGACGTAAAACCTCGAAATACACATAATATTTTAGAGAACCTATACGCAGGCCATGAATTAGGAGATATATTAAAGAAGGAAGATAGTGAGGAGATAGATAAGCTAGGCTATCCTATAATGAGAGAAGAGTTCGATGTAGCATTAAAAAACTTAAAGAGTAATAAGGCGCCAGGTGTAGATGGGATACATGGTTAGTTAGTCACATTTACGAGACGGGGAAAGTTCTGGAGGATTATAAAAGAAACGTGGTAGTAACCATATCTAAAAAGAGAGACGCGGATAGGTACGAGACATTTAGAACAATTAGCTTAACTTCCCATGCGTCAAAAATCATACCTAGAATTGTACAGTAAAAAAGTAGAAATAACTATTAGGGGAAGATCAATTTGGGTTTAGAAGAAATAGAGGAACGCGGGAGCCATTCTAGCTTTACGGGTAACTATAAAAAAAAAACGATAGAAAAAGGAAAGCGCACTCTACATAGGATTTGTAGATTTAGAAAAAGCTTTTAACAATGTTAAATCGGACAAGATGTTAAATATACTTAAAAATGTAGGGATAAGTTATAAAGATAGAAGAATGATACTTAGTTTGTATAAAGAGCAACAGGCAGCTATAGAACTAGGGCTGCAACGTAGAGAAGTAAATATTAGGAAGGGAGTCAGACAGGGATGCACACTGTCACCGCTACTTTTTAATTTATACATCAAAGACTCGATCAACATCATTAAAAAAACAGTACAGCTGTAGGGACAGATATAGAGAGGTAAAAGATTAATATGCTTAGATTTGTAAATGATATAGCAATATTAGCAACTAGCAAGGAGCAGTTAGAGATAGCTTTAAATAAAATGGAAGCGGTACTGACAAAACAGTACTGTATGAAAATAAATAAAAGTATAGCCAAAATTCTGGTAAGTAAGGGAAGGAAAAGTAGGGAAAGAGCGAATATAAAGATAGGAGACGAAAAATTATAAGTGGCAGATTTTAGGTATCTAGGAAGTCAGGTAAGTCAGGACGGAAGGATTAGCAGGTATATAAAGCAGTGCATAACTCAGGATCGAGTTGCCTTCAATAAAAAGAAGTTACTTCTATGCTCGCGAACGGTTAATTTAGAAATTCGAAAAAAGGTTGTTAAAGGTGTATGTTTGGAGCAAACGTGGAAAGTGGGCGCGGCGAAAAAAGAAAAGGTTAGAAGCGTTCGAAATGTGGTGTTACAGGCGAATGATGAGGATGCCGTGGATAGAGAAGATTGGAATTGAAGAGGTATTAGAAAGAGTAAGAGGGCAGAGTCATGAACTAGGGGAGATAGGTTAGTAGGAAACCTTTTCAGGTATGAAGGTATAGTCAGAGACATATTAGAGGCAGAAACGGAAGTTAGGAGGGGTAGAGGTAGACCTAGATTAGATTACTGTTCGCAATTAGTTAAGGATGTTGGTTGTTCTAGTTTCAAGGAAATGCGGAGATTAGGTATGGATAGGAGAGGTGGAGGTGTGTGTCCAACCAGTCTTATGACTGACGACCTTATGATCATGATAGGTTAGTAGGTCATCTCAGGCATGAAGGTCTAGTCAGAGACATATTAGGGGCAGAAGCGGAAGTTAGGAGGGGTAGAAGTAGACCTAAATTAGGTAGGGATATGGGTTGTGCTGGTTTTAGGGAAATGCGAAGATTTGCTTAGGATAGGACTCCAGACACACCTTTAACAACCTTTTTCGAATTTCAAAATTAACGTTTAACATTAAAATATTGATGACATGTAAAGCCGGATTAGGGGAAAATTGCAAACAGTAGGTTTTGCAACATTCGTGTATTGCAACAGAAAACACAAAATAATAATAAAATAATATTGTTCCATGAAGACAACTCACCAAACTCGAGGAAGCATCAGTGTTGGTCTATAGTGGGTTGCCGAGATAATGTTAGTATAGAAGTGAATGCAAGAGTTACATTCTGGAGTCTTCCTAGAAAAAGGCTACTCGCAGTCGCGAGGTTGAAAAGAGAACCGTTTCAGTTACGATAGAAGGCACAAGAAGAAGATCGAAGAAACGATTCAGTAGGGAAATGGTGATTAATTAAAAATGACAGTATTGTAGAAGGTTAATTACTGAAAATAATCTAATTAGCACTACTAACGCGACATCGACAGTTCGTGTCAGGTGTGTTGTTAAAGAAGAGAGGCTTTTGTAGAAATTGTGAATTACCCTAACAAAACAAATCACTGGAAAGCTGTCTAAACGAGAAGAACGATTCCGACGACGTCGAAGGATTTCATCAAATATCTGGGAGTTTCCACGGATCGTCAGTTACCTTAAGAAATCATATATAATTGAAAAGCTCTAGAAGAGAAGAACGAATTCGACATCATCTAAGAATATCGTCGAATTTTTTGGAAATTTCTATGGTCTGTGGGAATCCCTAACAAGTCATATATCATTTGAAAGCTTACAAAGAAGGAAGAACTATTTTGTTAAAATCGATAAATTTCTTACACACTTTAGAGGAAATCGATATATTTCATGCCTGCTGCAATTACTGGTATCTCAATAAAAAGTGGAGGAACAAATTAAAGCTTTAGTGATAGTGATAGCAGAAATAGATGAAACAGTAAAATGAAGATGGACATGAAGAAATTAATGAATCAGCTAGAAATGTAGCAAGAAACAAACATAAAAGTTGTACAAGATAATATCAAAATCGGATAAGAAGAATTAAAAGTAGCTCAAGAAGAAATGAAACCGAAAATGTAAGCAGACATAGAACGTATAAGAAGAAATAAATATGAAAAGAAAGATTAAGCTGGAGATGCGAATTAAGAAATTAACGAAGAAATTGAATAACTAGAACTAGCTAGTACTGCGAGAAATTACGAGTCCGCTGCAAGGCTAGTGAAACAACACCTACAACTTTTAGTGGTCCGTTTACTTACGAATGATTAAATAAGTAAATTACACCTCAACATGTCTTAAGAGTATAAAATAAAAAGAAAATATAGGTTACGTAAACACTAGCATGTTACTGAATATCATCTAGATAATTATTCACCACCATTGGGTTATTGCCAGACACGTTACATTTTTTTTGTGGGTGATTCCCGCAAGATGGCTTCGAAACGTTTACTAGCATTGTTTCTGAGTGCGGCATTTGACGCATTTTATTTACAGACTCATATTTCATAGATATATCTCGTATAAACACAAATAATTTGCGTTTTAGAAAACTAGCTTTTCCTATTCGGAAAAGGCTGTCGTGAATTCGATGCTGCGTTGCGTAAATTAAGCCAAAGCTGCGACTTCATTAGTTTACGAGGTATCTGCAGAAGCTGTTTTGTTGAAAAAGCGACTTTTTTCTGGGATAATTTGAGAGACACTAAAATTGCAATTTCTCGAGGTCTACCAAATGTCGCTTTTAGATTTTCGATTTGATGTTTAGTTTTTCGAAAACATTTATCATAAGTTACTATAAGGGTCACAGGAGTGAAGAGGGTGGCGATTATACAGTGGATAGTGGAGCTAGCGCCTAAATTCCATTGGCTACCCGTATGTCGCACTCGCACGTTCGCACTATTGGTTATTGCTCAAATCGGATACGAAATAATATCATGTTTGTACTCTACAAAGAAATCTACCAGTAGTCTTGATGATTTGAGATATCTTCACTTTAAAAACCTACATCTAGGTCTTCATTTAGCTACTCTTCAACTTACTGCGGTGAGCTCTACTTTTAATTGATTTTTTAGTGCTCAGCGAT